TGTTGTGAACCACCTAGAATCCCAATCTCTGGGAAATAGGTAGTATAACAACAGCAGCAGCAGCAACCACAACAACTCTCTCTAAACCTGCCTGGGCACCATGCTGAATATCTGAGGTCGTCCTCCAAGATCCACCCCAAGGGAGACCCACCCCATGGCAGCAAGGAAGGGGCCTTCTCCGTGGAGCAACCTATCCTGGGACAAAAGTTTTAAATTTCTGCTTTTAAATTGCGCATGGAATGTTATGCTGTCTGTACTGTCTCTGTACTGCATTTTATTGTTTTTAATGCATTGTTGTTAATTGCTGAGAGGCATTTGGCTGTTGGAAGGTACAGCAATGAAATAAACAAGCAATATATTGAAGACTGAACAAACCTCTCACCTGGGCACGGTCAGGTAGAAGAAGAGGAGGCTCAGAGGGGATCTGTGGGTGACATGCAGGTATGTGAGGGGGCATCACACGGAGGTGGGAGAGACCTGTTCTCCCCTGCAGAGGAAGGCAGGACGTGCTCCAACGGAGCAAAGCTCAGGGAACTCAGGTTCCATTTGGATGCCAGGAAGCCCTTCCTGACAGTCAGGACCCCGAGGGTGTGGAATGGGCTTCCACGGGAGGTGGTTGAGGCCCCATTGGTGCAGGTGTTCAAGGATAGGCTGGACATCCACATGGTGGGCATGTCGTGAGCGGAGCCGGCTGGTGCCGGAGGTCAGACTAGATGGCCCGGGAGACCCCTTCTGACTCGCTCTGTTTCTAAGCTGGGGCACACCCCAGCTGGACAACCTAGGGAGACGATGCTAGCAAGAGCAGCCACCTCGATGCATCCCCAGTCAGCCCCCCCCCCACACACACACACTTGCCCAAATTAAGGACTCTTTGCATGGTGGAGCCCAGACAATTTTTTGTACCTAACAGATGTTTTTTCATGTTCCTTCGCTTCTGCAGCACTGAAATGCATCCCGTTTTTGTCCCTCACCTGCATGTATATAAGGGTGATGTTACGGCTGCCCATGAAAAGCAACATGAAAGAAGAAATATGTTACGGTGAGCATCCCTTGGTGCTTTCCTCTTATTTCTACTCCCATCCCAAAGGAGAGGGAAATGTCAACATCTCACAACATCTCACTTGTGATGGGGTCCCACCAAGCTGACCTCTGGTGCTCTTGCTGGCTTCCGTTCCAAAAGGGGTTCTTCATGGCTGTGAGAACTGAATGCATAAAATTTAAAGGAGCAATGGAGCATGAATAAGCTCCATAAAGAATACAAATATTCTGCAAGGGAAGGCTTGGAAGTGACCGATCATTCATGGTGCTAAAGGATTTTTAATATATTTGACTTCTGAACAGCCATGGATAGCTGTACAATGTCAACGTCACCAGAGACAAATTTCACAGGCCGACCAATTGGCCGGAAAAGGAATTCTGGTGTACCTGAAAACCAGGCATCCTCTTTTACCTGTGTGGCCAACCTAGTTTACCTCTCAGGCTTTCTCTCTCTGATTTCACAGTCATGGAAAATTTCTGTACGGCGATAAACTATTACTACAAGAACTGGAGAGCCTGCTCGTTCCCAAGAGAGGCCGAATCTCAGCTCTGCACTCCTGTCATCCCAATTTATCACCGGCTGGTCGGTGACTGGCTGAATGACGAGGAAACTAAAGTGAGAAATGCTCTGAATAGCTTTATCTCCGATTCAGGGTAGCTTTTGAGAATATGGCAGGACTAGAGAGTTGGGAAGATGCCCTGGCTTTTGTGGCAGAGTTTAAAAATGGGGTGGGACTTAGGGATGCGTGAGGATTTTTTTTTTCCCATTTGTTTTGATCAAAATGTATTGAGCTTGCTACTCCCGGACATGGATTTAAATGTAAGCTGCAGTTGAAGTCCTTAGAGTCCCAAACTTGAAAGAGGATTTGCAAATCAAAAAGACTGAGTTGAGAGCATGCATCCTTTTGAAAAATGCGCACAAGGAAGCTTTAATGGGCGGGAGAAGTTGCTGCACCAGATACAGGGAAGTTCGGCTGGATTTTCATGTGAAAAAGAAAAGCAAGACTTACAACCCAGTGCAAGTGTGAGATGGAAAGGGCTTCCAGGTGGAATTGGGCGATTTCAGTGAGGTTCTAAGTTGCTTGTATGAGAAGCCCTAAAGGGAGCTGGACGGACTGGTCTGGAGAGGCATGAAGCTTCCCTTTAGGGCTTCACATACAAGCCACCTTGCTGAAGCGAAGCAGGTCTGCCTCCGGTCTGCCCTTGGAGGGGAGACTGCCAGGGGCTTCACGATGGGAGTGAGGGGTGGTAGAAATTTTAATAGGTTGATTTTATATTATTCAATATTTACATTTGGTTAAATATATGAATGAAATAAATCATGTCTGAGCACAATGGGTGGAGCTGAAGAGGGCTCAAAGCCAACCCCTGTTCCGGTTTTGATGCAGAATATTCTCCAGTGAGCATTTCCAACATGGAATGATGGACTTGTTCACTGTTTTCATTCCTTTTGTCACTCAAGACCCCACATAAGCACCACTTTTCCCCTTAACTGAGTTTCCTTGAGTCTGGGACTGTGAGCGAATGGCTCTTGGCAATAACACAAAGTCAATTTGGAGCGACGGCAGGAAGCATGATTCCTATTATTTTTCCATTCTTTAATTTCAGTTCCACAAAGCCCCAAAGCTGTCCCCCAATATTTACATCACCTTGCAAGACCAAAAACCATACAAAACAAAAACCCAATAAACATTTTAAACGATTTAGGACTCGGTCGTATGGCCTCGGGGGGCACGGGAGTTTCCAGGGGCCCACGGCACCCCCCTTGCCCATACCAGCAGCCCCCCCAGGGTCATGGCCAGGCCTCGGAGAGGATGCAAAGGGGCAAATTCGGGGCTGGGGGGGGGAGGCCTAGACCGAAGGCTTCTGCCAGCTCCTGCCGGCACCCCAGCCTCTTTCTTGCCCACTTCCAGCATTCGATCTAGAAGACCGAAAATGGCCATCTCGAGGAAATTTATTTAATCACTTACTTTTATTATTTATTTATTTATTTAAAACTTTTATATGCCGTCACCTCAGGCCTTGGCATCTCGGCATGACTCACAGCACGTCCAATTAAAAACAATGAAACAATGACAAATTCCATAAAATTATATAAAAACAAAAACAAACAAACAAAAGCAACTATGAACAATGGCATATTAGTTTTTAAAATAGCAATTAATTTAAAAGGTTTTAACCTGGTGCCGAAAAGAATATGAACTCAGCGCCAGGCTCACCTCTCCAGGGAGCACATTCCATAATCTGGGTGCCACCTCAGAGAAGGCCCTGCCCCGGCTAGATGTTCTTTTTATCTCCTTTAACGAGGGCTCCCGGAGCAAAGCCTCTCCCGCAGATCTTAAGGGGCGTGAGGGCATGTAAAGGAAGAGGCGCTCCTTCAGGTATCCTGGTCCCAAGCCATTCAGGGCTTTATAGGTTAAAACAGCACCTTGAATTGGGCCCGGACTTCAATGGGGAGCCAGTGAAGCTGGTAGAGGACTGGGGTTATATGAGAATAACGCCCAGTCCCCATCAGCAACCTGGCAGCTCTGTTCTGTACCAGCTGAAGTATCTGGACAGTCTTCAAGGGCAGCCCCACGTGGAGCGCGTTGCCGTAATCCAACCGGGAGGTTACCAGAGCATGAATCACCGATGCTCAGCAGTGCTCATCCAGTTGAGGGCGCATTTATATTTGCGTGCCACCAGATTATTCCAAGAGGAATCTCTAGGCAGCATACAGACAGTTATCAAAATTATGAGTATTAATGCAATCAAAGACCACTCATTTAAAACTTCCTCGAGTGAGGGGGACAACCACATACCACAACATATTAGAAGCAATTTGAAATCAGTTTTTAAAATACCTGACAAAGAGAAATGCTTTCGCCTGGCACTGGAAAGAAAGCGACGTTGGCGCCAGGTGAATTTCTCTGGGAAGCCTCTTCCGTAAATAGGGAGCGCTGCGGATGGCTGCGAACCTTTTGCTGGATGCATGGAAACTTCCGGGTTGCGGCTGGATGTGCATCTAAGTCAGAGAGCATCAGACGGTGCTCTTAAATTGTCCTTGGAATAAGATACTGGACCAGGTGGAAATCTCTGGCGCAAAGGCATCTTGTATGCCATTGGAGTGGAAGCTCATCTTATTTATTTATTTATTTATTTATTTGGAGTTTTTATATGCCGTCCCATCGCTTAACGCCTCGGGATGGCTTACATAAATAAACATAAATAGACAACATAGTGCCTGATACACAAACAAAAAATACAAATTACACAAATTAAAAATCCCGATTCATTCTGGCTGGAAGTTAAAACCTATAGATAATATTAAACGTTGCTAAAATATTGTTTAAATAAAAAGGTCTTAGCCTGGTGCCAAAAAACAAATAACGACGGCACCAGGCGGACCTCTCTGGGGAGCGCGTTCCATAGATGGGACGCTTAACTTAGCACCTGAAAGATGAGTCCCGGGGGTCTTTGCTCCAAATAGTTACCTGGGGGAGGGGGGCGCTCTATCAACTTTTCTGTCCCTTTGGACAACCATGAGACATCCTCCCCCCCCCCCCCAAAAAAAAGAACTCAAAGGTTTTTTAATCTGATAAGGGATGAGAAAACGTTACCAAATGCAGACTGGACATTCTGGCTCCGTGGGCTTTTTCCATCGCTTTGCCATAGGCTGGGAAGCCTGGGTCGACCAGGTCGGTCTGATTCGTGCCCTGATTTTTGTCCCAAGCAACACCCTTTGATGACACTGTAAAACATCCGGAGGGATCCGGCTGTTCAGCAGTAAGGAGATGAAATTGAATTGAAAGGCCGACAGGATTTGTCCTGCCCTAGCTCAGGAGGATTTCCCTGCTGAGCCCCGTCGTGCTGGGATGTGGCCGTTGCCCAGGACTGTGTGTGATCCGTGGCTCCAAGGGGGATCCTCCGTTTGCCGCCTCCGTTCGCAGGTGAAGGAGGCCTCGTTGAAGGCCCAGTGGCCCATGCTGGGAGTCCTTGTCCGCCGCAGGGAGAAGCAAGAGGAAATCATCCGTGCCATCCCGACTGTCCTCCTGGAGAGCAGGAAGCTGGACTCGTCCTTCGTGGCTAAGGTGAGGCAGTCCCATGAGCCAGGGCTCCCGTGGAACCCCTTCTGGCCCCAGGGCTGGATCTGATCTTGGAAGCCCCGTTGGGGCACGTTCCCCTGGAGGGCAGGGCTGGAGCTCCCAGCTCAGCACCCAAAGCACCACCCCGGGTGCCTGGCCACGAGGGCTCCCCAGTCCTTCCCTACAGGAATCCCTCCGGCATGGGGCTTCCCTGGACCGAAGGGCATGGTGAAACAAGGGGGTCAGCACCTGGCTACAGGTGGCATGCCAGCACCGGCGACCAAAGCCCATGACCGTCCGTGTTGCTTGGCTTGAGGAAGAGCCACAGTGGAGGAGATGGTCTTGCAGGTGGCTTCAGGCCTCCGGGGGACCGAGGACATCAGTGAAGACCCCTGTGTCCTCGGAGCATCCATGCATTTGCACAGATGCATCTGACTGTAATTCCGGAGGAACATCTTTTCTGTGATGGCCCCTGAATTGTGGCGTTAGGGGTGAGTGGATGAATGACGAGGTGGTCCAAACTCTCCTCAAAGCTCACTTGGCTTTATCCCATTCCTGAACAAAGGAATCTTTTTTTTGATCAGGAAAAATACAGTGTTAATTGGAGGGAAATGAGCATTGTAAATGTATGCACCCAAAATGCACGCTTTCCCTCGTTAGTGAAAGTGTGAAAATGCAGGGGAAGGACACACTCAGGTGAGTGTCGTCTGAACCCAGAGCTGGAAGGGATGTGCGTAATCATCCAGGACCCGCCTTACTTTAGACTTGGCATCTGCTGATCGTATGGCATTTCACTCTTTATGAATTGAGTCATAAATTCATTTCACCCTTTATTGATTTATTTGGAGCCCAAAATGGGTTAGCCATTTATTCAATTTGTTAGTGTGTATGTGAGGAGTCGGCCTTTCCTGCCCCGATTGCGTCCTCCAAATTAGCCACCCCGTGGGGCAGAGCTGCCCTGTCGCTTTGGCCCTGCCGGGTTTCTCTTTTCTTCATCCACAGGTGTGGGAGGGATGCACGGATATTTTGCTATAAATACCAAAATTTTACTGAGACTGCAGCTTCACCAGAGAGCCCCAGCGTTTGAGGGCCACAAGTCTATTCACTGCCTCACCTAACACCTGTCGACTCCTGTTTACAGAAGCTTAGCTTTTTCTTGGATGTGTGTGAAGAGTGTAAGCCTCCAATACCCAAGAAGACCTTCCAGGCCCTTTGCGACTTCGTCTTCCAGCAGGTAAGACAAGCAGGACGTACAGCTTTCTTTAATCCTGATTAGCTTTTCACATCTGGCCCAATTTGAATGAGGAGGTCCTGATGTCCTCAGTGCATACGTACATTTGCAAAGATACGTCCTACCGTAACTCCAGAGGGGGATTTATTCTGTAATGGCCCCTTGTGGAGTTAGGGAGGAGTTGGACGTGTGTTGTTCAAGCCCAGCAAGGTGGTCCAAACTCATCCTCAACTCTCACTTGGCTTTATCCCCTTCCTGAACACAGGAATATTTTATTAATCAGGAAAAATCCAGTTTTGATTTGGAAGAAATGTGCATGGTAAATGTAGGCACCCAAAATGCACACTTTCCCTCATTAGCGAAAGTGTGAAAATGCAGGGGACGAAAACACTCAGGCTTTTTTTAATTGTGACTCCCAGCTCAGGAAATGCAACAATTTGCAAGAATTGCATCCTTGTGCTTATATCTGGGTTTGCAAACTGGCGAAGTTTGCACGATTCACGAACAGGGAAGTTGTGTGGGCTTTGCAAACTGGGGTGGAATTCTCGTCTCCCTATTATGGCATCCCCTTGAATAAAAGCCCTCCATGACATCCCAGAAATCCAAGAAAGCCCTTGGCCACCCAAAATGTCCTATCCGTAAATCCAGGGTTGCAGCTTCCTTTATGGAATCTCATATTTGGAAGAATAATGTGAGAAGTGCTGGGCACCTGTGCACCCATGTAGCCCGAATGCCCCTTCTCCTGGGCACCTCTCAGGACTCTCCAATTCCATCTGAACATTTTGACGTGAGGAGCGCATCACACAGTGTGTGGGGAAGACCTGGGGCTCATGGGGCTCAATATGTTGCCTTTCACAGAAAAATGTTGACAATTTAAATGAGCAAAACCCACTCCAGTGTCTGTCTGATCCAGGTTCTTCCACTGGATAACACAGCACAAGAGCTAAAGAAGTCCCAGAAGGCCGAGGATCAGGTCCCACACCAAAGTTGGACAGCAGAGGCCCAAAGGAGCCCAGCGAAAGGGGAGGTCCATGAAGGTGGATCGGCTACATGTGACCTGGTAGGTACAGCCGCGGGACTTATTTAAGTCAATCCTGAGCGGACGGGGAACCAAGACCCCAGCGGCTGGCACCGCTGGAGAACTGCCAAGCTGAAAGGCGAGTGGGGGCGACACCGCGAACGGGGAGAGAGACAACTGCTTGCGCGTCTGCTCTGCTGAGCGGCTGCGGCAAGTTCCGCCCGGCATCCCTTTGGTCCAAGCACAAACCACCAGTCGGCAGGATTCCGGACCAGCTCCGAGACATACGGAGGTGCCGACAACCAGGAATGCCCGCCAAAGCAGTACAGGAGAGCGCATCAGCCAAGTCCATCTCGCCAGTAAAGCAGAACGTTCCCCCAGGATGCCCCGCCTCGGAGCCCCTCTCTCATGCAGCTGCGCTGGAGAGGCAACGCACACGCCTGCCCAGCACAAGTGTGTGCGGTTAGTGACAGAATCCCGGTGTTCAGTTTGCGAGGAAATGAACGCTCGGGTCCGTGGGAAAGGTCAGATGTCTGAGCCTCCGCTGCTTCATTCTCCGGTGCCCCAGCACCTGCAGCCAGTCATGGTGATGCATTACCGGGTAGAGGCCAACGCAACTCCAAAGCCACAGCCCATGTGCAGAGACTTTTAGAACCTGCTAGTCACGTGCACCGATGCAGAGTGCTCAGTTTCCAGATAATGTTGGTACAAGAGCATCCTGATGTCTCTAGGCATGACATGATGTCCTAAACCATCAGAAACACTGGCAGCGATAGGATGGAAAATGTTCCTGATGGCTGCATTGATAGCTCAGACTGGCACGTTCTTGGCAGTTCAGGCCAGCCGGGTCTGTCTGTTCACACATGCAAACGTGTCTGATGGAGGAAGCATCCGGGAAGTCTGCTCCGGCAACCCCACTCCGCAGGCGCTTGCCTCGGTGGGACTCAGGTGGGCCCATTCAGAAGCACATGGGCGCCGTTGTTCCAGCTCTGCACAGGTATCGGCCTCCAGCAGCTTCCCAGTCTAGCTAAGAACTCCACCTTCGCAAGGCAACAGCAACGCTAAACAGCAACCTGGCTGGGATTCTGCTGCCTTGTGAGAAAGAGGCCTAGATTTGATTTTTTAACACAAAGATGCATATAAGCAATGTTTTCCTACCAGGATTTATCTGAAATTTCCCAACATTAGCCCAGGAATCCTGGAGCTTCCTGCAACCCAGGCAGGGCCAGCGGAGGAGGCCTGGGCATGTCTGTGTACCAAGTTACTGGGATGCAGTATTTGCTTGGAGAAAGGTGGGGCACACCCCTCTAGCCTCGCCCAGCATCTGTGTCTTGCAGGGGAAATGGGGGGAGTGGAGGGTGCGGGTGGCCCAGCCTGAAAAGGCCCCCTTTTCCTGACGCTCCCTTCTCCTGCCCCTTCCAGTCCAGTTACGGGCAGCTGCAGCAGCTCTCGACAGATCATCGCCGCTGGCTCATGGATGCTTTCAGCCACCTGGGTAAGGGGCCGAGGCCCGAAGCTGCCCCACCTGGGCCCACGCCTGCCGGGTCCTCCTCCGAAGTCTTCACCACGAGGAAAACCGATCCGGACAGACCGGACGAGTGGTCAGGCAGCGAAACGTGGCAGCCTGCGAAGGCCTTGCCGCTGTTCCTCGCAGCCGGCCCCGCTTTCCACCAGGACACGTGCTTTGATCCCCCCACCCTCCGGGGGCTGCACCCCTCGCCCCCTAGGGGGGTGCTTGGGGGGTCCTTCCTTCTTCCCGGGGTTGTTCTTCTGAAAATATTCCCATGCTCCTGCAAGCGCTGGTGCATCCTGTACGCAGGATGGCGGCCCTTTGGCCGGCAGCTGGGAATCCCACGCTGCTGTGCTTGCCGATGAAGAGCCGGAGAGCGCGGCTGGCTGAAGGGCCGCCCGTCCTTTCCCCCAGTCAGCTGCTGCCCCGCGAATGCGCTGGACTTCCTGCAAAGCCAGATGAAGGACGAGACGGAGCATGTCCGCGTGGGCGTCTTGAGCCACCTCCGGATGATCGTCGGCAGCGATGAGCGTAGGCAGCACAGGCCGCGATCCAAGCACCCCCCACTCCCACCCCGGTCGTGAGGCGTCATTCCTTTTTGCTTTCCTGTCTTGCCCAGAGCGAAAGCGTGACGACACGTAATATGAACATATCACAGTCAAAAGCGTTAAACAAGGGGCCACAAACTGGCCGTAAGACTGCCAGGAGCTGCTGGAAGCAGAGCGGACCCTGCCCGTCTCATGCTGGCCGGTGCCCAAGACGGGGGGTTGGCTCCCCAGACGCTTGAAACTGAGAGCGTTGCAAAACGGGAGAACAACTCCCTGGAGAAGCCCCTGATGCCGGGAATAATTGACGGCAAAAGGAGAAGGGGGCGGCAGAGGATGAGGGGGCTGGAGGGGGTCACTGGAGAGGTGGGTGTGGGCTTGGTGGACTCCAGGGGATGGTGGAGGACAGGAGGGCCTGGAGGAGGGTTGTCCATGGGGTCGTGGTGGGGCGGATGTGACTTTGCAACTAAACAACCACGAAAACAAAATTGGAGGGTCTTCGTGGCTGGATGCAAGATACAGGTCGGCTCACAGACTTCGGGCCTTTGGGCCAAAGGTGGGCACGCTCTGGGTGTGTGGGGTCACGTTTGTTCTCAACTGCACCCCGAGGGCCACCAACGGCTCCAAGCGTCAACTAGGAGGGAAGAGGTGGCCTCGGAGCTCATGGGTCGGAGCAGCGATTTGCCCGCAAGTCACCGCCTCTCGGTTCTCTTGCCAATCCATCCCTCGCTCCCCCTCAAACTTTCTTTGTCTGAGAAAATAAACTTTTACGGGTTCAAGGAGTCTTGCTAGCATTGCTCTGGTTAGGTAAGTAGAGGCCAGACCTCCTGGACATCACCCTGAGATTTGCCTTCTGCCCCCCCCCCCTGCCCCGCTGAAGTGTCCTGTGCCCAGTGGGAGATTCGGCTGCACACACACAGCTGAAAGGGCTCGGGTAGGGCTCAGGCCAGGTAAATATATATTTTGTAATTCTTTCTACTGGAACTTTGCAAGGAAGGTGAAGTCAGACACTTTTACAGATTACATTACAAAGAGATAAAATTTTGAACTGACAAATAAATGTACATCTGAATGTGAATCAACAAAATAGTGGATTAGAATCATGGTTAGGGTTAGGGTTAGGCTCAGGGATCAGGGGTCAGGGTTCAGGGTTCAGGCTCAGGTGTGTCTATCAGTCGCTCATAGCAATGCTGCACCTTCAGTTCCTCCAGATACCTTTCCATGCTGCAGACCAAGGTTTGCAGGGGAAGTGTAAGTACCTGCACTGAAATGCACGTACAAACACCTCTGTGGCAGGACATGCAGGTAGCACAGGTGAGCACATCGTGGGTGGCCAGAGGACTCCTCCAACTTAGTCCAGCGGAGTGTGCTCCCAGGCAGTGGTGTAGTGGCCCTGGGGCTCACAGGGATGCTGTTCCTACATTTTTTGAAGAGCAGGGTTATGGAGGCCATCTTCTACCCCTCTTGGACTTCCTTCTTCCCTTGCAGCTGAGCTGCGATCCTCAAGGTAGCAGTGGGTGCAGGTGGGTTTCCCCAGTAAAGTCTATGGATCCCTTTCGTTGCACAAAGTATTTTGGAGTCTTGAACGGTCAAGGAAGAGCCCTCCATTTTAGAACAGACCCATGCCTGGTTCGGAAGAGAACTCCGAGAACTGCTTGGTCGATGTGGATTGATATTAAATTTTGAGATCCTCTTTGTGGGCCACCTGCTCTCTTTACAGGGACCATGTCGCAATGTAGCTCTGCATTGCGGCTTATGACTCACCTGGAGGCTGTAGCACCGAACTACCAAAATCTTCAGAGAGGGAGCCACGATGGTTGGAGCAGACTTTGAATATCCTCACCCAGCTGCACACACCCCACCCTTTTGGACATCGTGTGTGCAAACCGAATGCTTGCAAAGGGCTATTTTAGTGTACAGTTTTGCGACAACCCTATAAGCAGAGCTGCTCGACCCAGATCCATCCCCCATGGCTACTGTTGGAAAGGGGGATGACGGCATTCATCAGCGCCTCTTCGTTTCAGATTTGCGTCGAAATCTGACGTGCTTCTCCTGTCCCTTCCAGCGTGCAAGGCCAGAGACAGGAAGCGCCCCATCGTGGAAGCCGTCAAGTGCGTTCTGGACGACCGCCGTGAAACGGTGCGCTGCGGGTGGGAGTGGGCATGAATTCTTCCTTCCCTTTAGCTCCCCATTCCTGGTTTTTCTGCCCCAGTGCCGGCTAATTCAACCTATCCGCCCTTTTCATTTCCCACAATGCTCCTGAGCTAGGCCTGAGGCATTGTGGGAAATGCAAAGCGTGGCCAGGCTGTTACGCTTGCAGCCAGGTAACCCCAGTGGGAGTCACGGAGGGGAATGGAGGCTCAGGTAGAAAAGCAAGAGGAACCCGCAGTGAGCTTGGATCTGTCAGGACGGGCCCTCGATGGGGAGCCGCTCAGCATCGGGGGCGGTCTAAGGGGCTGGCATCTGACGGGACCCTCCCTCTGCGGCAGGTGAGGCGGGCCATTCTGGGCTTTATCAAAGAGCTACTCCGCTCCCAAAGCGTCGAGGGCTGTGCCGCGTGGGACATGGTGGCCTACGTTTTCCAGCAGTTCACCGTGCCGGTCATCCAAGCAGTAAGCGGGCAAGCGGCTCCTCTGGGTGCCCTCCGTGGGGCAGCTGGGGGGCAGGGTGGCGGTCAACGGACCCTCTTCAGGGGCACCGGATGCTACCCTGGACCGAGCCGGACGACTGCTTGGCCTCCTGCCCAGCCAGCCCACGTTGCCCGCACGGGCTGGCAGCAGCGGTTCCCACGGTGTCAGACAAGGCTCTTCCCAGCCCAAAGGGGATCGGGAAGCCGGGGATCGGGGAGCCTCGATGGCAGCCACAGGACAGGATCCCCGGGTTCAGTCAGGAAAGAGCCCTTTCGCCTTGAACCTCAGCAGTTTTCCTGAACGATCACCCGGGGCCCCTGCAGTTACTTCTGAAAGTATGCTCCTGGGTAGGGGTCTCCCCTGCCAACTACAAGTTTTTAGAACATACACAGAGTGTTTTATAGCTTCTGAGTCACATGGGCCCAGCGGCTGGGCAGTGGATGACGAAATAAGGGGAACACAGTCCGAAGAAGGTGAGGGGTCTGCAGAGGGGCTCCGTACAATGCCATTTGATTGCAGGCTATTAACATAGCGATCATGGGATTATGGTGAGCCTTGGCATGCAAATGAGGGCGATTGCAATGCTGTTAATCGGGCAGCCCGACCAGTTCTTACTGATCGGCGAAATGATAGCCCTGGCAGCTTCTTGGGGAGCCATCAGGTCCCACTTCTTAAAGTACAGCAAATGCCAAACTGCAACCTGACTTGGAATTTTTGGGTGCTTCCTTGAGAAAGGGTTGCACATTTCATTTTATAACGCAAAGGCATATAAGCAACCCTTTTCTGCCAGGATTTAGCTGAATTTTCCCAACACGGGTGAAAACTCTGCTGGTCTATGCTGAGAGAAGAAGGGGACACACACAGGCCAGCCGGAGATGCAGCAAGTTCCCCCCGGCAGCCCTGAGCCCAAAATCCAGACGTTGCTTTAAAGGCTCAGACAGCACCAGGCCTTCTTCATATTTTTAGGGTACAGATAGGAGTGACCGTCCAGAGCTGGACCCTTGGTGGTTCAGGGACTGTTTTGAACCTGTTCCTCCGGCTATGCGCCCAGTCTGAACACCTGCCACTTCTGTTGCAAGGCAGTGGCTGATGGAGCTGGTGCTTTGAGGAAGAAGTGGCCAGCTTGTCCTGCCCCTGAAGGGGGAAAGACCCCACCCCGGCTGCCCGCATGCCACGGCCCCCATCGGGAGCAACCCCACTCACACTGGGGCGCGAAGGGAAAGAGATGTGTCTGCCGGTTGCGATGAAAAGTTGCGCCCAGCTCTGGCTCGAGGGCGGGAGGCGGATCCCGGAGCTCTCAGGCCGCCCCTCGGGGCCCTGAAAACCAGTGAAGCCGCCGTGAGCCTGAGCGATTCTGAGGACTCTTGGAGGGTGGAGTCCCCACAGAGCGCTTTGAGGCGGTCCGGGGGTCCGTTTCTGCCACAGTGTCAGGAAGGCACCTCGGTGGGGGGCACTCCCATCATCATCCTGGGAACTTGGGGAGCGCCTGCACCCCGATGTGCCTCCCTGGCCTTTGAGATCTACGCCTGGGGCCCTCCTGCGTGAGCCGTCCCTCAGGGAGGCGGGAGGGGAAAGAGGAAGGATTTTGCCTGACGCCAAAAAGAATATGACATCGGTGCCAGGCAAACCTCTCTGGGGAGTGTATTACGAAGGTGGGGCGCCGCCACCGAAAAGGCCCTTCTCTGAGTGGCTACCCTCCTAATCTCCTTCAGGGAGGGCTCCTGGAGCAGGACCTCCGACCCAGAACTCAAGGGGTGGGAGGACACAGGACACACCAGATATCCCAGATCCAAGCCATTTAGGGCTCTGTGGGTGATGACCAGCACCTGAAATGGGGCCCAGACTTCAGTTGGTAGCCAGTGTAACCGATAGAGGACCAGCATTATATGTGAGAACCTGCAGGCCTCCATTAACATCCTGGCAGCTCCATTCTGAACCAATTGAAGCATCCGGACTGTCTTCAAGGGCAGCCCCATGTGGAGGATGTTACAGTAATTCAGCTGGGAAGTTACCAGAGGTTATGTAATTTGCCTTGAGTTTCTTGAAGAGGAACAAAGGCCGGATTAATTGTGGGGCGGGAGCCCCTGGTGGGAGGGGGAGCCCCTGGGGAACACGAGCAGCTGTTGGGGGCTGTGGCTGCTGCCCCCCCATCAGCCCCCCAAGGTGGCTGCTGCGCTTTGCTTAAGGGTGGGCCCAGCCCTGAGACCCCCGTGGGATTGGCACCCCCGCTTGGGCTGGCCACTAAATTGGAACCATTTAGACATCTCCAAAAAGCAACCGGGGGGGGGGGGGGGATTAAAGCCGGCGCTGCGAATTTTCACCCAGCCAAGCCCTTCTCTCCCGCATCCTGCCAAAACAGGGCAGAGACCCCGTTTCTGACCAGAAGGAAAAGGAGAGAGAGGCGCGCATTCAGGAAATCTGCGTTGACCTGCTGGAGCACCTGAACACGTCTGCGGAAGGGATGAGCAAAGTGAGACGCCCCGCCGGATGGGAGGGGCCCGGCCGGACCACACGCAGTTCCCCAAGTGGCCCTGGTGTCCGCGGCGTGCCCCGATTCCATGCCCCAGCCCAGCCTTGGGGCTCTTCGGAGGCAGGCAGGCAGGGGTCGAGAGCCCCCTCCAGCGGGGGAGGCGAGAGTCAGAGGAAAGCGACTCCGCTCTGACCAGTCCGCCCCCTTGGAGGGGCTCCTGGCTCAGCCAGGTCCTGTTCGGCTTTGAAAGGGGGCGAGGAAGAGGAGGTGCGAAAGCGGGGTTTGAAATAATGCATGTGTGAAGAAAGCAGAGAGGGAGCGAGCACGCTTGAACCCGGGGCCATCCCATGAAGCTGACGGGTGTGGTTAGGACAGATCAAAGGAAGTCCTTCATGCAGTGAATGGTCAAACTGTGGAATTCGCTGCCGTGGAACATTTGGAGGGCCACCAATCGGGATGGGGAGTGGACAAGGAGGCTCCCCGTGGCCACTAGCCCTGCTGGCCACGGGCGGCCTCCTTCTCCAGAGACGGCCTGCGTGCACAGAGCCGTTGCCGAGGGGCTTGGGCAGGGGGAGGCCTTGCCCCCACCCCGCTGGAGGGCTCCTGCGGGCAGCTGGTTTGTCCCCGTGTGCACAGAGTGCGGACTGTACCCTTGGTCTGATCCAGCAGGTCTTTCCTTGTGTTCTTCTGCGTATTCTCTGGGCTCCACAGGGCTTGGGACCACTTTCTGGGAAAGGCCCCTAGACAGCCTGCTGGCCCCTGCTATTTAGAGATATACTGCCTCGGTACATGGAGGTTCCATTTAGCAATCATGTCCAAAGAGCCATTAACAGGATGGTGTTGCTCACCATCTTTCCTATGGACTCCTGCAAAGGAGCACTGGCCAACACAGATTTTGGCCCCTCGGATGTTAGACCTGTTCCTGGCTATTTCTGACCTGCTGATTCCAAAAACGGCACCACACTTTCCCTACCAGCTCTAGTTTTTGAGATATAGCATAAATGCCATATACCACTCTTCACTCAAAAATCAGGATATTTTAATGTAGTGTTTTATTTAATCTCCTTATAGCATGAAAGAAACACATTAAAATTAAAAGAAAAGAAAAATACACTAAATCTACTTATCTCAAACCAAATCACAGGTTTATGATACAAACATTCCAATCATCCAAGACAGAGGACGCTCCTTCGGTAAGATTTCCAAGAGCGGGAGCTGCCAGAACAATCCTGCCTAAGGCTCCAACAGTAACCTGCCATCATGGGTCCATCCCATCGTCCTTGGCATCTGCCGGCAAAGTTTTTATGCCTTGGCGCAATTTTGCTCTTCACCTTACTCTCCAAGCTTCTCTGGAAAGCAATCTAAATGACTGTGCAGATTATGGATTTTAACACTCGTTTTACAGCCAGCTAGCGTCTCCTCTACCAATTGAGTAGAGTTTTCTGTCTTCTTGTGGCCAAGGAAGTTTTTAACAACAAGAATAAATGAAAACCAGGCACAAGATTCGATTTCATGCCAGGAAGATGCCAGGAAGTCCTTCCTGACAGTCAGGACCCCCAGGGTGTGGAATGGGCTTCCCCGGGAGGTGGTTGAGGCCCCTCACATCGGTGAGGGTGTTCAAGGATAGGCTGGATGTCCACATGGTGGGCACGTCGTGAGCGGAGCCGGCTGGAGCCGGGGGTCAGACTAGATGGCCCGGGAGACCCCTTCTGACTCGCGCTGTTTTCTATGTTTCTACGTTTCATTCATTGATTCCATGAAATGTGGGTCATTAAGGAGGTTTCCTACTTACTTTTGGGGTGAATTCCCCACAAATATAGCAAAATATGTCGGGATGATTCAGGAAGCACCGTCGTGAAGTAGCCATAATCTCTGTGATGCTCAGTCTGCAAGGATGAAACGATATGAGTGGGAATCTGCACACAGCTCCTATATGATCATAAGTATAATGCAGTTAATAAATTAGCCTTTAGAATCCAATGTTTCTGATGTAAAATTACAGTTGGAAGTATGTAGTTATCCGCTAACTTGTATGCAAAACATAAACTAGGTAACAGAAGAACAAGTTGATCAGCCAGATCTTTTCAAGAACTGACTAAAAAATTATATGAATTTGACCATATCTAAGAAACTAAAGCCGATGCAGTCTAGCCAATGCAATTTTCTGAATCAGCACCCCAAATAACCCCAGGAACAGGTCTAAAAAGCAAGGCACCAAGAAAAAAGATTTTTTTGTTGGACTGTGATCTATGTAGAAATCCCTGTATTTGGACCTATCCAGTTGACTTTAATTTCACTCACTAAAAATGCATTTATTAATCTTTCTGTTAGTTTGTTTTGGTGAGGGGAGGGCTCAATTTGAGTACTATTCATTTGCTCATAGTACTATTTGAGTACCATTCATATTACTACTTGAGTACTGTTCAATCGATCTGGCAACGTACTGCCTGGATTCACGAACAGCCGAGACTTTCCTTAGTACCGTGCTTTTCTTTGTTGTCCTAAATTCAGCTCCAGAAGAAGAAGCTGAATGGGCATGGAGCTAAACTGGGGATGTGGGGAGGGGACTCTGGGGAAGTCAGCCTGTTATGATCAGCCGTGATGTTCAGACAAGTCCAAGTTAGGGTTCTATGGGGGATCCCGTGTGGCTAATGGGGCAGGCTAAGCATCTAACAAAACTAATCAACCAATCGATCTGAGTCTGAAAGAGACTCATGATTTGCCCCCCCAGCCCTATGCCGCTTGCTTTTATTTATTTATTTAAAACATTTCTATGCTGCCCCCATCGCAACAAAGCCTCGGGGCGGCGCACGCCAAAAACAAAAACATACAAAATCATACAAAAATTATACACTAAAAATATTAACCAGCCAAACCAGCTCTCAGACCGTCCATGACAGCAACAGGTCTGGTGGCAGCTTTGAACACAAAGGAAATGGAACTAGGCTGGTTCTGACTTCCAAACTGCATGAATTGCAAAATCAGGTGCATTTACATTTCCACAGTCTGTACAGTGGTATGACTTCCACACATTTCCTTCTTCAAAATGCACAAACTGTGGTCCATCTTAGGGATGGAAGACTGTGGAAAGGCCCCTGACTTCTGATCATCGATCAGAAGCAGGCAAGAAGTCCACTTCGCTAAAGCAAGTCCGACCTCCCCCTTCTCAGAACATCTGAGAGCCCAGCAGGTGAGGTACCTGGGTTCTTTTGCCAGGTACCCAATTCAAGACACTCGCACATCCCACCCAGGGCTGCGATCTGTCCGTGCAGATGAGAATGGACAGAGCGGCGCCTTTATTGCAGCGGCACCAAATCTGTAGGATTTTCTCCGCAAAGAGCAGGACACCTTTTTCTAGAATTTTCAGTGCCACTGGTTATTTTGCCAGCTTTTTTGACCATGTTGCTTAGCTAACACACGGCAGGAAGCACTGTCTTCACTCTGATTTAGCTTCATGCCAACGCCCCGATGCCAATCCGATTTTGGCCATGCCGTGATGTCACAGAGCCATGTCCGAGTGACGGCAAAGTCTTGTGCCCTCACTCTCACACAGTCAATTGCGCAAAATAGAACCAGGTGTTTGGGATCGTGGCCGCTCATACTAACAGCATATGATGGAATATGCCTTAACAAGTTATTTTTGTAATTGAAATTGTTTTAAACTACTTTAAATTTTCTGTGTTGAAATGGTATACTCTGATTTAAGGTATCTACATTTGGTACTGGATTTTATCTCATGTCTGTGTTTTGTGAACTGTCCCAAGCAGTTCAGGTATTGAGCAGAAGAGAAGTGAAAATAACACAGGAACGAGATAGTGTAGAATTTGCAAAAAAACCGAGTTGTGAGGGACTCACGCTCAGGAAAAACTTCTAAATCTGCCCCCTTTGAACTGAAAGAATAGAGCGCCAGGAGTTGTGTCAATTAATGTGGTTTTCCATTTGATGTACAGCCATTACCTGGGGACCCCCTGTCCCCCCCCCCCCCCGTAGTGCTTCTCTTATTTCAAAATGGGATTTAAGGCGATGGCATATTTCCATCATGTCTCAGGTTAATTATTATCTGAAAAGTCAAAGTGGGTGCAATACAGAGAGATTTTTGAAAAGGGGATTCTGCTTGTAACATATTGAAATAATAACTTTCAGAGAGTGATTTAACCTTGCCTATTCTTTTCTTTGTGGTGAATATTTGCAATTTTGACATACAGTGATTCTGTTTAGGAATGATATCTATTAAAGCTGTACATTTGGGAATAACATTTACCATGAAGAAAGCAGAGAAGGAAGGTACTTGTTTGGGGATATTTAATGCAGCCCTCAAGTTGGACCATCACAGACGGTTTGCCAAAAAATAAAATCGGGTGCCAGCTGCAGCAAATTATTGAATGGTGCCTCCTTCCACTCCACAGGCTCTGTGGCCCCGGCTGCTGCTTTTCGTGGTCCCGGCTCCGTACACGCCCACCTTAATCCCTCTGTGTAGATGTCTGAAGGAACTGGCTGCGATGCGGCAGGACGAATTCGCTCTGTTCCTTGGATCATGCAAAGGAGGTTTGCTTGCCTCATTGAGTTGCAAGAGTCGAGGGTAGCCATTAGTGGGGAATCGTCGGGATGGCGGCCAGCGACAAGCGGGGTCCCCCAGGGCTCTGTCCTGCATCCGATCCTGTTTAATCTTTTCATCAACGACATGGAAGAAGGGGTGACCAGTCTGCTGATCAAATTCACAGACGACACTAAAACTGGAGAAGTGGCCACAACTGAGGAGCAGGTACTCCAGATCCAAAAGGATCTGGACAGACTATGGAAGTGGCCAGGGGACAACAGGATGGCGTTCAGTGTGGATAAGTGCAAGGTCTTGCACTTGGGGCATAGGAATAGCTGTCATAAGTACAGGTTAGGTGACAAGTGGCTGCTCTCCAGCCACTTGTCACCTAACCTGTACTTATGACACCTA